TGTGTGTGTGTGTGTGTGTGTGTGTGTGTGTGTGTGTGTCACCTGGGTAAGGACTTCCCATCCAGCTGGTGTCTCCTGAAGGTTTCTGTGTATTGAGGAAGCTCCACACTGATGAGCAGCCAGTTCTCCACCTGCTGCACCGTCCAGTTATAAACTGAAGACACACACACACACACCTTTAATACATTTAAAGGGGGGGGGTCTTAAAGACAGGAGCTAAAAGCAAGTTTGAGACAGAGGCTGAAAAGAGGAGCTGCAGCGATGGACAGTCTGAGGACAGAACTGAAGTTATGAAGCTTTAACTCTGTCTTAAATAACCATCGTTCTTTTAAAGGTGCAGATTTCTCAGACTCCCTCTGTCAATGAATCAACTATTTAAAATCCCTAAATTTAAATTCAGCGTTTTTAATTATGGGATCTTTTTTTCATCAGAAGTCAACTTCGTCCCACAGAACATGTCTCCGTGTGCACTGTCCACGTAGCACCAGGAGAGGGCGATCCACACAGAGCCCAAATAAAAGAAAACAAAAAACTTCAGTTCATGAATAAACAGGTTCAGGAACGTTTTCTAAAAAAACTTTTCTTTCATCGTCACTGTGACAAATGGAGCGAGGAAATGAAGTGGATCCAGAAATAGGATTTTATTTTTACACTCCACACAATTCTTTTTAATCCCTCCTCAAAGCCCCTTTCTTTCTCTCTCTCTTTCTGTCGGTCTCTCTTTCTTTCTTTCTTTCTCTCTTTCTTTCTTTCTTTCTCGCTTTCTTTCTCTCTTTCTTTCTTTCTCGCTTTCTTTCTCTCTTTCTTTAAGTCTCTCTTTCTTTCTNTCTTTCTTTCTTTCTTTCTGTCATTCTTTCTCTCTCTTTCTGTCAGTCTCTCTTTCTTTCTCTCTCTTTCTGTCGGCCTCTCTTTCTTTCTTTCTTTCTTTCTCTCTCTCTTTCTTTCAGTCTCTCTTTCTTTCTTTCTTTAAGTCTCTCTTTCTTTCTTTCTTTCTGTCATTCTTTCAGTCTCTCTTTCTTTCTCTCTTTCTTTAAGTCTCTCTTTCTTTCTTTCTCTCTCTTTCTGTCGGTCTCTCTTTCTTTCTTTCTCTCTTTCTTTCTTTCTCTCTTTCTTTCTCTCTTTCTTTAAGTCTCTCTTTCTTTCTTTCTCTCTTTCTTTCTCTCTTTCTTTAAGTCTCTCTTTCTTTCTTTCTCGCTTTCTTTCTCTCTTTCTTTCTTTCTTGCTTTCTTTCTCTCTTTCTTTAAGTCTCTCTTTCTTTCTTTCTTTCTGTCATTCTTTCTCTCTCTTTCTGTCAGTCTCTCTTTCTTTCTTTCTTTCTCTCTCTTTCTGTCGGCCTCTCTTTCTTTCTTTCTCTCTCTCTTTCTTTCAGTCTCTCTTTCTTTCTTTCTTTAAGTCTCTCTTTCTTTCTCTCTTTCTTTCTTTCTCGCTTTCTTTCTCTCTTTCTTTCTTTCTCTCTTTCTTTCTCTCTTTCTTTCTTTCTCTCTTTCTATCTCGCTTTCTTTCTCTCTTTCTTTAAGTCTCTCTTTCTTTAAGTCTCTCTTTCTTTCTCGCTTTCTTTCTTTCTTTCTGTCATTCTTTCTCTCTCTTTCTTTAAGTCTCTCTTTCTTTCTTTCTTTCTGTCATTCTTTCTCTCTCTTTCTTTCTCTCTCTCTCTTTCTTTCAGTCTCTCTTTCTCTCTCTCTCTTTCTTTCTATCTTTCAGTCTCTCTTTCTTTCTATCTTTCTTTCTTTCTGTCAGTCTCTCTTTCTCTCTCTCTCTCTCTTTCTTTCTATCTTTCAGTCTCTCTCTCTTTCTTTCTTTCTCTCTCTCTCTTTCAGTCTCTCTCTCCACAGTTTCTAAGCTTCCCTCTTCTTTGTCTCAATATATTTTATTTTTTCCTCTCCTCTGCTCCTCCTTCCTTCTGTGGTTTTGTTTTTCCCTTGATGATTTTTGCAGAAAGCTGTATGTGTGTGTGTGTGTGTGTGTGTGTGTGTGTGTGTGTGTTATTAAAAGATCAGAGCAGACGAGTCTGACGTTATCAAGAAGCACATTAATATTTAATAACCGCATCATTCATAACTGACTAAAGTTATGAATGATAAGTTCATCTCTCACCTGGCGAGCTCTGCCAGGCGCTCCACATGTCCTCGATGCTGATGTGCAGGTCGGCTCCGTGGAAGCTGCTGTGTTTGTCTTTCCGGTCGTGATATTTCAGATCCTCCCTCAGAAACTTTCAGTGGAAGAAAATAGAAAAAGTCCTTGTTCATTATTTGTTGTTTGTCAAATGTTCGCGTGTGTTTGATTGTCTCTGTTTTACCTCGTCTGTCTCGGTTGTGTCCACCGTCCCGTCGGCGTCATCGTCCATCTGTTTGTGGATGCTGCAGATCGCCTCGAAACTCAGGACGGCGTTTTCATCCTCACAGAGCTGCTGGTCTATCGCACACAGATCTACAGTAATAATTATATTATATTATATCATAATATATCACATTATATTTCTATGGCTCATATAGTATAATTGTTTGTATTATATTATGTCAGTGAGCTCAGAGCCTCATTTTCGTTTCTGTATTTGATCAGAAACTGGCAGAGTCGTGTGTGAACTTCTGTTCCCGTCACTTTGACAAATATCGACTCTGCTGCCCGCGGCAACAGGCCGAGTAAACATCCGTCTTTTTTTACAAGGAGACGCTGAACTCCACAAGACGACAGTTTATTATTATTAAAGATAAAACTGTCTCTGCTCTCAGAACCAAACTTCATTCTACAAATCACAGGGGTGTGAATCTCTCACCTCATCTTTTGATAAAACGATTATTGAAGCATTTTATTATATAGAATATAACATATAGAGAGAATTTTATTTCTATACATGATTTATTTTTTATCACTGCATCTTCATAAGCCTCGTGATTTGTGCTTTAAAAAGTATTTTAGACAGTTTTTAGACAAAATAAGGTTTTTTCAGTTCAATGAGACTCAATCAGTGACATGACTTCATGTGCAGCTCTGCTGCTCTGATCCTGGACCAGCGCTGGTTATGAAAAAGGAAGCTGAGAGTGAAAGAAGAAAAAAGACAAAGACAAAAAAGGCAAAATAAAAAGCACAGGAAGAAAGAAAGAGAAGGAAGGAAATGACGGAGACGAAGATGTTGTGATGTCGTCAGTTCTACTGTCAGAAGCAACTTGTTGTTTTAATCTGTTTCACTTTCTGTTCGGCCCTGAATGAAAAATTAAATTAAAACATCCAACCAATCACTGAGCGGCACAGTGAGGGCTGTTAGCCTCGGTTAGCAGCTAGCATCCGCGAACATCGGATCACTTACGTGGTCGTCACGACAACAGGGAAAACTTCAAGATTTCATTTGATCGTTTCTGCCTCGAGAACGTCTGTGTGTGTGTGTGTGTGTGTGT